TACAAATGTGCTGTCACAAGTTTACGTAATAAATTCAGGAAAATGCATTTTTGTGCAAAGGACGTCTATTGGACAGAAAACATTAAAGAAAGAGGAAAAAGTACTTATAGTATTGATTATTGAATATTGATCTTATTATTCATTAATAAATGACGTAGAGATTTAATATCCCTGTAAACCCTCGTCAACGTCATATATCAGTACCTACATAATTGGAAGTCGTACTCGATGACTGGAAAGTGGAACTTAACGCACGATCGCACCATAATTGGACAAATGAAATGTCTTATCGAATATTAACCCCTAACAGTAAAGCTGGCAATTTATTTTGGTAGAACAAGATGAAATAGCCACACCAAATTCCAGTCTTAGAAATAGAACACAGTTCTATTTATAATAAATTGTATGTAAATAAGCGAAATAATATTATATTTGTTGATAATATGTATATGGTTTTTGCAATCAGTAATGGGACAAGAACAAGAGAGAGATCAGCGCTCTTTTCGCCAATTGTGAACTAATTGTCATGATATTCTTTTTATTGAAAAAAAATAACTATTAAATAAAATTGATTGATTAATTTAAATTGATTTTTAACTCGCCGCTTTATTTTAAGAGACGCCCGAGGCATTATAGTGTATTGCAAATTCTTTAAGTTTAGAACTTGGGGTGAACAGTCTCTACCAAGTGTGTGTATCTTCTACAATATACTTAACATAGATTTATAATTTCTATCTACCTATAATTAAGGATCATCGCAGCAAACTAAACATACAATAAAATTATTTCCACGAGTCGTATTAAAATTGTCAAATTCCCAAATTCTTTAACAACATACCTATAAAAGATTTCTTTAAGTATTTTATGGCTTCCTCATATATTTGTACCTACCTACTGCCAGTGCGATACAATACCTATGGCGAAACGTTAATATAAGATTGTACTAATAGTTCAGGATTTTTGAACTAAATTGAGTTTGGTAACTGCAAAATAAAATCGAAAAAGTGCGTGTCTGACTTGTACACCGAGGGTTTCGTAGCATGAAATATTAAAATAAGTTTAAAATCGCTAAAATAATAAAATTTACGGTTTTCAGATTTTACCTTTTGATTTTGCTATAAGCTGCTTTTTGCCAAATTTCATGATTTTATGTCAACGGGAAGTATCATACCATACAAAGGAGTTGATTCCCTTTCGAGTGTATGCCGCATGTATGGCGCATTGACGACCGTATCTTTGGATTGCTTTGTTTTAAGTAGTTCGATTTTTTCACAGCTCCAAGGGATTGCAGACTTGAGTATTTGATATTAATTTCAACTTGGTACCTCCAAGCGTTCCTGAGAAATAGGATCTTGACAGATAGACAGACAGACAACGAAGTGATCATATATGTAAGAGTTCCTTTTTACCTCTTGAGATACGGAACACTAAAAACTATATTTTGTACAGATGTCTTAGTAGGAAATCTAAACTTATTCTAGGTCCCGTTAAAAGAAATATTATATGTAGCAATATTTTATTCTGCTCTAAACAAAACTAAGTATGTAATTAAGTGAACAAAGTACATACCTACTCGTAGGTGTCTGGGTAAAAGTAATTGTCTTTTAAATGAAATTAATAATTAAATAAAACAAGGTCAAGGATGAGTGGATTAAACCTAAAGGTTTCAACCGATGTTCAATATAAGACCTATTTATTGGTAAATACAACATTCAATTACATATAATATTGTGTGGTGGTACGGGAATTTCTGTAATTATTTTGACAAGATATTTATAAACTAAACATAGTTAAAATTAGTTGTATATTTGCATATATTAATTACAGATTTAGATATGTATGTATGCAGTTAAATAATTTAAAATCCGAAATTAAAAACAATAATAAAAATTTATTTACTTTATTAAATTCGATCAAGTTTCATTTTATGATCATTGTAGGTATACATATAGGGCTATATGTATTTTTAGGAATTCTGTGAGTGATAACACTTTTTTTAAATCACGATGTAGGTATATATTGCATATACAAATAATATACATTTATAAAAGTTACTTATACTTAATAATTACTAATCAAAAACAAATCTATCCCTCGGAAACCGTATATTTTTCCGGGATAAAAATTAGCCTATGTGTTTTTCCAGACTATAATCTATCTCTGTGCCAAATTTTATCCACATCCGTTCAGCTATTCTGGCGTGAAAGAGTAACAAACATCCATACTCACAAACTCACATTCATAATATAAGTATAGATTTAGCTTAGGTCACTAATCATGTAATCCATCAAACAAATATTTATTTAATTAAAATAATATTTTTTTGAATATTTTTCAAACATAACCATAATTTTTCTCATACCAATCAAAATAGCAATGGAAATAGCTACGATTTTAAAGTATACCGGGAGATGGGGGTGAGGGCGCTGAACTGGGTCACCAGTACAGCGTCGGGTAATGGCGCATTTTGAACAACATTTTAAAATCTATGTAGTCCTCAACTTGTTGAGTTCGTTCAATTCGTATTAAAATTATGAATTAGGATATCAGCGATTAAAAACGCAGTACTTATTTTAAGCATTACTTATTCTAAGTATTATTTATTAATTATTACATTTATTTTTATTTACTTATTTTATTTTTTATTTAATCATTTATTTCAGGCAATATTTACAAAAAGATCTTAAATATGTAAACAGAGGTCCATAGCATAATTAATATATTTATGTGTAGAAGAATAGTGAGATAAAAGTTAAGTCTTATTTTTTTTAAATCGACATTTTAAGTTTATATTTGTTTATATCTAGATATAACTTATTTAAGTTCACTATTAAGATATTGAAAAATTAATTTATAGGGCGATCGAATAAATTATAATATTCCTAAAAGAAATATTTTAATTCAAAAGGGTTAAAATTAATCTATTTAAATAGGAGTCAAATAATGTAGACAATTTCTGATTATAAATATCTAACAATCGGTGAAAATATATAACTAGATGGGGAAGATATAATAATTATATATGGAATCATTATATTGTTCGCATTGGGAAGTTTCAGGGTACAGAGGGAAAAGTGTGAGAATTGGGTCACCAGAGCGGTATTAGATGATCGCAATTGGAGCACAATTTAAAATCTATAAGTAGTCCATTAACTTGTAGATCCTCGCTCTGTTGCCATTCTTATAATTTATTGTAAGTGGTTTATCTATCTAATACCTTTAAACGAGCAATTCTTGTATATTTATTTGTTTATTTATATAAACCGGCGTTCTTGGAAACAGCTCTTACGATTTAGCTGATATTTGGTATTTGGAGAAAAATCGATCTAGATTAGTCTTATGTCTGGGAAAACGAGTGTTTTCGAGTTTTCATGCATCATGCATTCATGTTTTCTTTCGCATTATTCCACGCAAAATATGGTCGCTAATTTCGAACGCTCGGGCATAAGCATCGTGGTCAAGCGGCCAAGGCGCAAGATTGACTAATGTTATTTTGTTTTCTTTTTTTGTATTTTTCAAATTTTTAGTTTTTGTTTTGTTTTTAAGTCACATTAAAAATGAAAATTTTATTTTATCAGTTGAGGTCTTACTCTTTAAGTTATATGTATAGATTATCATCTAAAAAATACGATATAACAAAAAAGAACTGCGAGCGAAGCTCGGTCGCCCATGTACTATGATTTATCTAATTTTATTTTATTGAATAAAAATTCCTTGTAACATGTAAGATATTTGCTTAATTTTTGTTGGAATTCGAGTAAGTTAATCGAAACGGAAATTTTGATGATAAGTTATTATCGTAGTATACGTTACTTATACCTCATATATTTCATGATTTTATGTTCTTTAAATTATTTCACAGGTCTTACTTTAATTTTTAAATAGTGTTATACCTACAAGGATACCATTCTAATTACTTTAATTATATTGTTTTTTTTAAAACATCCTTACTAATATTATGAATGCGAAAGTGAGCTTCAGGATTCATCCATCTATCGTTCTGTAACGAATAAGCATATTTTTTTGCAAAGAAATAGTTTATGGGCCGAAGAGTAACGTGTTTTAATAAATTAACTGTAAAAGATAGTTCAAAATGCATTGAAAAAGTAACTGAACTGTATTAGAAGTAAGCGCGTATTGGTTCCAAATAGTTGAAGTTATTTTCAAAAATTTGTAGATATTCCTCGACAGTGATTGAAATATTAATTGAAAACCATAGCAATTATAAAGTAAATTTTGCCATCCTTTTAAACAATTTAGGAAGCCTTGTAAACAAAAATAAACAGACCTTTATGAATATTTTACTTGTTCCTTGTGAACAATCAGATGCATAATCCAGATAATTGTTTGGTTTTGAGCCAGCTTATCTCATAAAGCCAGGGATCTGTCTACGAGAATTCGTCGTTGCTAAAGGTTGACGTGATTTGCCTTTTGGCGGTGCGTGAAAATGAATTTTATATTCAATTTTCAGCTTTTCCTTTTTTTCGTCTCTTTAAAATATAATGAGTTTAACTTGTTTCGATGGCGTTTTATCACAATTTTTCATATAACAAGGAGTAGATATTGATTCATATGCTCTGTAATATACATATGTTAGTGGAGGACGAAATTCAAAATTGTTTCGACGTTCCCAATGCCTTACATTTACAGCAAATGTGGTCACGGGAGAGACTAAGACTTAAGACTTCTCAAAAGTTATGAAATAGTTGTTGTAGATGGTATCTGCTCACATAATTATATAATAATTAGGAAGAAATTTCAAAATTGCTTCGAAATAACATACGATAATAGTTCATTTTAATTTTAAATTCGTTAAAATATCAACAAATATTATCGATTCATTTTCGTAAATATAAGAAAGTAATAAAACATAATATTTTTTAATACATGGAAATTTTTTTAATAAATGGATACATATAGTATAACGGCATATATTTTATGAATGTTGAGTTTTCATGAATTAGTGTATGAAGTTTTTAATATAAAACATTTCTTTTCAGATCGAAGCTGTGAAGATGAGATCGTGGTTATTATTATCGTTGTTGATAGTGTATATATCCTACACGCTCTCAGCCCCAATGCCACATAATCCAGGTAAGCGATTAATCGATAATATTATATTCTTTATTGCACTTAAAATATGATACAGAAAAAAAATAACAAAGTAAACATAGTTCACAAAGGTGGACTTATCTCTAAAAGAGATCTCTTCCAGTCAACCCCTGGTTGTGGAAGAAGATGTCAGCGGGCAATATAGTGCAAAAAAAAAACTAAGTATATACTAGAAATAAAGGTAATAATAACTAATTATACATACATATATACATATATTATATATAAAAATATATAATACTATACATATATAATACCTAATGTAAAGACTACTTATAAATACATACATATATACATAGTTAATATATAAAATATGAAAATAGAGAAAGGTACTGATTGATACTGTCTACATTTGTGATAATAAATAATTTTTTAATTTACATTTAAAGACATGAATAGATGGGCTCTCATGGATGGTTTTGGGCAGTTGGTTCCATAGTACTGCGGCATGGACAGAAAAAGAATTTTGTTGGAATTTAGTATTAAGCGATAGTTATATAATAACTATCGCTTAATATTTATAACGTATAATAAATGCTCGATAAACATTAAATTACTGTACTAAATCTTATGCAAGGATAACTTTTTATTTGCTAGAAAAATATCTCGCCTTTGCTTCCGTTGAATTAAGGATATAAAAAAGGACATATTAAACACTCCGTAAAGCGCCTAAAAAGTGCATTATAATATGTATGCAACGAATTACTCAAACTTAGAGAGTTTTTAAATATTCTTCTTTTTGTAACCCTGTGGGAAACCACTGCTTTCCCAGAATATAACATATTTTAAATGTTGACTTGAACATCCTACTAGTATTATAAATGCGTAAGTTTGTGATTATGTATGGATGTTTGTTATTCTTTCACTCAAAAACTACTAAATGGATTTTAATCAAACTTTTCAATAATATAGCTCATACATCAGAATAATATATAGGCTTCTTTTTAATCCCTAAGAATATACGGTTCCCGTGGGATAAATTTGTCTTTTTTCTAAAAGGTAAAGGAATAATTTTCTCAACAATTTATACTTTTTTATTTAAGTATAAATAATAAATACACACGTAAAACAAAAAGTTCCCCGAATGGTGACTTTCTTTTGTCAGTTCTTTTGAGGATGGAGATATTTTCTTTGAGAACTGAAGGTAGAGTTTAACTTTTAGTAAGTATTCTTAACAGATACACTCCTATGCTGAATAAAATATTACCTTTTTACCTTTGATGTCCGTTGTATATTTGGTTTCATATAAAATGAAGGTACATTGTTGAAATACGGTGTTTAAAGTTAGATAGCAAGTTATGTAATTCTAGTAGTCTTCGATTCTATGTAAATAATATTTTTATCTGTTTCTTCAGTAAATATCAAATATAATTTACAAGCTCTTATATTACATATTTTCTTCAAGGTACCAATTTTTAACGCTGAGAAATTAAAAATGTTGGTTCTTTACGCTGCCACAAAGAAAAATCATAGCGCTCATAGCTTAATAAAACTTTTTTGTTTGGCTGTCGTGGCTCAGAAACTGTATTTCATTAAGTAAGCAAGAAAATTAATTTCTTTAAATTATAATCTATATGTAATTTTGTAACGATGGAAATCGGGGAGAATCAAATAGAAGCGTGATTTAATTCCGTTCATTATCATTTTTCATTAAAATCTAATTAAAGATAACTCATCAAGGTTTCGCTCGGATATATGATTTAGGAATATGTAGGCTACAAATAAACAGACAAAACGTTAGTCAAAAAGTTAGTAAACAATACATTGGTATTTTAATTATTATATAGAATGATAAAAAACAAGTTTCAGGTGTATTGTTAATTTAAAAAAAACATACCAAATGTATCTACTAGATTGCATATCTTATACATGATTTATTTATTAATTTAGTATTATTCGAAGTGTCTGTCCAATTACGTACATACTTATATTTAAAAAAAAATAGAAATAATTTATACCCTTGAATTTACTTATTTAGTATTAAGTATGCCTAAGAATTATAAATAATTCGGTATACTTACTACATATCTATAGTATTGTTGTGCAAATATCATTCTTATAAGCCATGAAGGCCGTTCTTAGGGTCATATCAGTTTAACCACAGTGCAAGCAAAATTATCCAATTGGCACTCATATCAAATACGAGGACTCTGCATATACGAGTACACTGTCTGTGGTGTGTTATGTAAATGAGAGATGAGTTTCGAAAAAAAAATAGTTTTTTTATATTAACAAATTAGCCTTATATTTATACTCATAAATTAGCCCTCTCTATCACTCTATGGGCTGCAAAGTTTTTACAAAATAGAACTTCCAGGGTATACATGTGTGTATATATTAAATAAAAAAGTATTACTAAACTGAGCTTTTTAAAATGTTGGCCTTTTCTATTTTAATAAAATGGTAAGTATAACATAATCTAAAGTGATTTAATATTGTAAATTACATTCAAATGTAGAGTCGGTCGTTCATGAACCTTATGTTGGTAATATTATGTTACATTAATTATTGTAGTTTTTTCCTTGCTCTCTCTAAAAGTAGAAGCATATTAAGGTTAATGGAAGATATAAAATGATAAATGATAAAAAACCACGTAGTATTTAGACTCTCCAGGACCGCTACAAGGGCACAAAATAATACCTTTATAATCGTTTGTCATATAATAACTTGTTACGAGTAGGAAACTAATCCACATTTTTGTAGAAGTAAGAGTTGGAGAGGAAGGGGGTTTTCGATCGGTAAGATTTATTTACTGAAAAATAGGCCACCGATTTCAGAATAACTCGAAAAAAAAAAATATACCCGGTGGTTTTTTTTTCATTTGTATGAGTCCAATTTTGGGATATAAACTATTTATTAAAAATTATATTATTAACATCAGTTCATAGTTGGCGAAAATATTGAGTAACATACGCAAGAAATACAGCTGTATTCAGTATCTTCTTTTTTGAAGTCGGTCAAAAATTATAAGCAACACTTGGCGTACATTTATGTTCTTGGAACATTTTATTCTATCACAATTTACTAAAACATTATGTAAACTCCTTTTAGTAAAACAATATTACGCTACGCTTCCTCGCGTATCCCATTTCCATAGTAATAAATAATAATCGTTAGGTTACATGGCTACTGGGGCATTTTCGTTTGTGTTCTCTTTCACAGCGCTGTCTCATAATACTTTTAACATTGGCATTGCTTTACTTTTACATATTATGTAAAAATATTTATCAATCACAGTTTTCTATGTGTGTTAAGATAAAAACTTTACAATATATCGTTGACGGTTTCCCGTAAATTTTTCGAGATAGTAACAGTGGTGGACGTGTCTCTGTCCTATCACTAGTAAAACCAAAAAACATCTATTTTTACTTTATCAAAGTACTTTATCTTTTCCACGATATAACAGTATTGACAGGTTCTATTTATTTCTATTGTATACACGATATTGTTGAGTAAATAAATATAGTAACTTAACAAGTGATTGTCTGTTATTTATATATTCTTATAATATATTCTGCTCATATGTGGGTATTATGAATCTTATTAGTCTCAATTAGTATTAATATAATACTTCATTAACACAAAATGTAGTTTTATAATATTTTTTAGGATTTCACTTCTCTCCCTTACTCAAAGTTGTATTCAGATAAAAACAAAGAACTAAATGTAGAGTTGATTTTATTTTTTTGAACTCTCTGCATAAAGCATAAGCCTCATTAGTATAATTATTTTCTAAATTATCAATATTGCCTCGGTATATCCAAACTTTTTCAATTTTTTGTAGTTATCTAGCAAAATTTACTTACTATTAGCACTTAAGTACTTAATGCCTAAATGTTACTAATATTTTATAACTATACTGCAACATTTAATTTACGTTATGATATGAAAGAAACAAGGATTACAATTACTCATTTAATTTGTATAATGATGATGATAAGAGGTAGGTACATATGTTTGTGTTGCTTTTCGTCTTTATAATTATTTTACTTTTATATTGATTCACTTTAATCATTATTTGATGGTCGGGTCTCGTGACCTTAAAAAAGGTCTTCTCGTATTAGAATATGAAAACGTATTATAAATTACTGCAAAAGTTTGATTTTAAAATGTATGAAGCACCTAAAGCTTACGCACACTAGAGCAGTGATTTAGACGATAAAGTTTCTATCTAAACCTTTGTAAGTAATTTAAATATTCATTATTCATTTCAATAGTAATCCTTAATATGTATTTATAAATTTTACTTTAATTGTGAAATAAATAGTTAGCCATTAATTTAAATCTAAGTAGACACTTTTACGTCAACATCTTAGACTTTCGCGTATTTTTCTTTTAACTTTTTTATCGTTTATATATAAATAATTCCTAAAAATCTATGTACGATCTGTTCCTTTAGTGAGGCTTTTAGTATATTGTAATCATTACAGCCTCATTTCGATTTTATTTATTTGTGTGAATAAGAAATATAAAACTCTTGAAATAAATATAAAATCTTAGTAAAGATAAAACTGTAGACAGTAAACTTCCTTATGAGACTTCTTATGAAAACTATGATCATTAAATTTTAGTCAGTACAAACAACAACGTATATGTAGGTTATATACATGCTAACTGCCTCGGTGGTGTAGTGGCTAGCATGTACGGCTGCACACCCGGAGGTCCTGGGTTCGAGTCCCGGGTCGGGCCAAGTTTAGTTATTGAGTCTTTCTATATAGTAAGCCTCAGTAACAGCCTGGAGTTGGGAAGTTGGCGGTGTTTCACCCACGTGCCTCGGAGAGCACGTAAAACCGTCGGTCCTGCACCTTAACTCTCACTGGTCGTGTCGAGCGGTCGTCCCACCGGAGTATGAGAGTGACAGAAATAGAGAGTGCACTTGTGTCTGCGCGTACACTTTAGCACTATAATATCTGCTGCGCAGTTGGCTAGTCTCAATGAGATTGGCCGCCGTGGCCGGAATCAGTCAGGAGAACATCAAATCA